CTGGGAAGAAGAGGCACAAAGATTTGCCTAGAATTTCACAGTGGCAGTGTTCCTGGGAACACGGCTAATCACAAGTTCGCAGTTCAAGCTGGGCCTGGGGCGCATAAGTGTAAAACCAGCATTCTGCGAGAACTGAATCACAAAGGCAGGAAGATCAGCAATTTGAACCCAGACTGGGAACTTAGCAAGACCCTGTCTCAAAATAAAAAGTTAAAAGGGCTGGGTATGTATCTCAGTACGAAAACCCAGGTTCATTCCCCAGTATCACATACACACACACACACACACACCACACACCTCATAATTCAGAGTGTGGTATAATAGAAAGTAAATATTTATTTCTTGTTCCCAGTCAAAGGTTGGAACTGTTGGCCTTACCCTTGGCCTGAGGGAGGGAGAAGAGTGGGGATTGAGTTCAATCATTGATGGTAATAATTTCATTAACTGTGCTTTTCTAAAGAAACCTCCACGAAATCCCTAAATAAGTGGATCTGGGGAGTTCCCAGGTTAGTGAATATATCAAGGTGCTGGGAGGGCAGCACCCCAGAAGAGAATGTAGCAGCTCCACAGACCCTCACATCATGCCCTCTGCATCACTTTCATTTGACTGCTCCTGCCTGAATCCTTTATACTAAGCCTTCCATCGTAAACACAGTGGACTCAAGAGAGTGCTGTGAGTCATTCTCACAAATGATCAAGTGTGAGGGAGAAGGTTATGGAAACCTGCAACTTCTCATCAAACAGAAGAGTAGGTAGCCTGGGGCCCCAAGCCTTATGGTAAGGTTGGCAAAGAGCAATCTGGACCTGGGCTATCTTAGCCTGTAGAGTCTGGGCTAACTCCACATAGTATGGGATAGGATGGGATGGGATGGGACGGGACAGGACAGGACGGGATGGGACGGGACGGGACGGGATGGGATGGGATAGAAAGGGATGGGATGGGATGGGATGGAATGGAATGGGATTATTAGATTTCTGGTTGGTGTCACAGAATAAAACATTGATTACTGTGAGCAAAAGACCTTACTGAGAAGCAGACTCATAGAAGCTGCCCTAAATATGTTGTGGCCTTTTCTATATCAGCCTCAAAGCTACGCACAGGCTGTCAAGGTCCAGTTTTCAAAAGCAGAGACGCTGATCAGAGTTCCCTGGCCAATCTTCTGAGTTACCTCCCAGGTACTCTGGAGCTACCCTCCCAGTCTGCTCTAGATAGCATCCACTCCACTCTCACCGACATGCTCCCCTGGACAGCCAGGTATTTCTGGATCCTTGCCTCCATTGAGTCCTATAACTGCCTGAATGTTCTGAGAAATGTTCCCAAGATCTTTTCTTTTCTTTTTTTATAAACATTTGAAATTTTATTTTTTTAAAAAAAGCACATCACAACCATGAACATTGTTACAGTTAGAGGCCCTCTTGGTTCTCCACAATAACTGAGCATGCTCACAAAGGTTCCCATTGTTAAATCTTAGTTAAACAACCATCTCTGAAAGAAGGGAAAAAAACTCAGCACTCTACCATTTAACTTGTTTTAATGTTTCTTCACAAATGGTGAAAAATACTAAAGTACAGACAAAGAATAATCATAATGTTGTGGCCAACATTATAAATATGGAATTATAAATTTAAAACATTTTCTGGTTTAAAAAATAAATCTGGTAGTCAATGCAGCTCTGCGGGGTCTCTGCGTCTAGTAGGGCCGGTCTCTGCGCTCCTGACGGTGCTCACCTTTATCCATTTTTCCAGGTCCTCCACGTCCACCTCTTCTTCCTCCCATTTGTTCCATCAAAGGTCAGGAGGGCCCCCTGGACCACCTCGTCTTCCTCCACCAAAACCACGGCCACCACAGAAACCACCTCTGTCTCCACCACGGCCACCTCTGAACATTCCACCAGGACCACCGTGGTCCATGAGGCCACCTCTTCCTCCCCGCATGCCACCAGGGCCACCTCTGCCACGATCACCACCCCGGGGGTGGGAAGGGTGGCGGGAGGAAGCCTTCAGGTTTTGGGGCCTTACACTGGTTGCATTCTGTTCTCCAGGCGAAGTTCTGGTTTCCACAACGATCTTTTCTTGTAGAAATTTAATTATCAAATGTTTTGCCCCAGGTCGATAACCCCTCTTTCCCTTGCTTCTTTTCCTGCTCAAGCAAGTGAGCAGCTTCAAGCATAACTATGTCGTATCCTGTCTTGCTGCACAAGAAGGATTGGAAGAGTCAAGTCTTTTCTGGTTGCAAGAAACAGCCTAACCAAACTCACTCGAGTCAAGTCAGGAAATTTATTGCAAGTTATCAGATTGTTCCCAAAGCAGTAAAGAGCTAGGGCTTTACCTCAGTGGCAAAGCTCTTGCCTACTACTCATGAGGGCCTGGGTTCCCTAACCAGTACTTTCTTAAACAATCAGGAACCATAAGAAAAAGGTAAGAGCCAGAAAGCAGTCAGGGGCAAGGCTGCTGCTGCTCTCTCAGACCTCCCCCATCTCCCCCACCTCAAATTTTTTACCCCAAATTTCATCTGCCCATAATTTTTCCAAACCATCACATTGCTTGCCTTCTTTTTACCACAGTAGTTTTTTCTACAGTAGTTTTTTGCTTTTTTAATGTATTCAGTATAGGGTCTCACTATGCAGCTTGGACTCTTAGTGATCCTCCTGTTTTCAGCCTCCCCAGCTCTGGGATTACAGGTGTGCGCCACCACGCCTGGACTCAGTGGCCAGCTCAGTGTGCCCAGAGGGTCGGGCCAGTGTGGCATGTGGTGCAGGGGATCGATACAGCAGTTTTTTCTACTTCTCTGCCCACACGATGAAAGATGACCCCATATAAACTCCAGAGTGTCTAATTCTTCAGCTCCAGCAATTACTTAAAGCCTATAATAAGACCACAGAATCTTCATTCCAAAAATCCCAAGGAAGGGACACCTATGTTGCAAACAGCAACAATACAATAAAAATGTCATTTGTATTCAGACAGGAGATCACGGAACACCTACATGGCTGTGTTGAAGAGAGTTCTCAGAGAAGAGGGTGGGGGAGTACTGTCGTGGTGGATACCCAAAACTGTGACAACACTTAAGAGCGGACTAGAATTATGCAGTCAACCTACAAAGAAACTGGTAAGGCCACTTGTGCAGGAAAGGGGTCTTCAGCAAAGAGCAGGGTCTACAGCAAGTCCAGTCCCTCAGTCAGTGTTTGGTGGTTGGAGCAACCTGCAGGAGCAGCTGGAGATGCAGGGTGGCTAACTGCAAACACCTGGGTTGGTACTGGAAGTAGACAAACAGGAAATACGCCAGGAAGCCACTGATCAGGAACAGGAAGATGTACAGGAACTCCAGCTGTGGGTGGTCAACAATGGGTGCCAGCACCAGATAAAGAGCTACCAGGATCATGAAGGCGGGAATGAAGGTGGGAACCTGCGGGGGACACAGTGGGTGTTCAGGCCCAGACAGCTGGGTGATGAAGGGTTAGGAAGTGCTTCTTGTGCCCTGTCCTCACCACCTGCCTTCTGTGCTCCCACCTGCCACCAGCTTTTCCCCTCTAGTCACTGTCATGATACCTCAGGTGGCCTAGGGAAGCCATATGCTGGGCTACAGGGGGCACAATGGGGAGCAAGGGCTGGGGCCTCAGTGTGAGCTTCTCTGCACTATGAACACCCTGTGTACACACCCCCTCTGTGTTCATCTCTCCTCATTCCCCTGTAGGTCCTCTGAGGAGAAACAAGTCTTCAAGAAGCACTGCTAATGCCTTGTGACTCGGTTGTCCATCATCCCTTAGAAATATAGAAATTCTCTACTTAGAATAATGATATCGACAAACCCTCACATCCTTACACACTCTGGGCCTTGAAGGAGGTCACAGCCAAAGACCTGCCTCATGTAGGATTATTGGGGTCAAAAAAAGCTGAGCACCTTTCCCAAGGTTACCTTGTAAGTTCGGGGAAGATTCTTTGTCTTCATCCGCAAGTACAGAAGACAGCTGATGGTGAGGCCATAGGTGAGCCAGGACAGGGAGCTGCAAGGATAGGTCTAGATCAGGACTTCTCTGATGGCCTAGGAGGAGAACTTGTGGGACATCGAGGAAGCCTGCACTCTGCAAGACCAGAACACTTGTAGCAGAGTGTGCCCCCTTCCACCCTAGCTTTTGCCTTATTGGAGATGGGGCATGAGGGCTGCTTAGCACCCTGACAGAATCCCTTTGCCACACTCCCCTGGTCTGTACTGGAGTGGCTGATGTTCATGTAATAAAAATGTCATGTACCCTTGGACTGAGGCCCAGGCCATCTCTGAAGAAGCTCAGGGTTGGCAAGTGCTAGGCCCCAGCTGGGGTGGATCACCCCAGTTCTCACTCTGCTGGGACGTTCTCAGCCACATTTCCTGATACCCACCTGAAAACCCTCTGTTGTCTCTCTCCTTTAGCCTCACCATCTAATTTTATTCCTTCTCATGGGAAAAAGACATATCTATTACTTATCGTACCTAAGAGGGTCACGCCATGCACCGCACATCCTGTTCCAGATTAATTGGATAACAAAAAAGCATGTGATACCTTAAAATTCACTAAGAATGCCGAGGTACCCAGAATAGGGCTCGGCCTCCAGGCTATAGCTCTGCCTATTGACCCCACTTCAAATGAGCTCATAAAATTATAGCTGGCCAGCAGAGCAGCTTGTGATTTCTGTCCTGGGGAAAGCAGCAAAGTGGGGTTAGAACATCTTGCTCTGATGCCATCAGGAATTGTGCCTGAACAGATGAGTGCAGTTCTGCTCTCAGTCCCATCAAGATACTGTCAGGTATCTGCCGGGTTCAGAACCCGGATGCAGACCCCAAAGGGAAAATCATGCCACACCCAAGGGCTGCCCCATACGATATCTGAATGTCCCTTCACATTATCTTAGCAACTGAGTATAGGAACAAGAAAGAAAAACAATGACAGACAGCCCAAATCTTTGCTGCTTCTTGGAGAACAAATTGTCTTACTAAATTTTCAGGAGCAACCCAAACTAAGAGAAGAGAGCATCACACTTGATTTTGGAAATGTGATTGGGAGTGGCTGAAACATGACTAGGAGGCCCTGAGCCTGGCTTCTAGAAATGTGCATGACGTGACCGTGTATGTGTGCATGTGTGTGAGTGTGTACACATAGAGGACACCACCCCTAGCCAGGGAGACAATTTCACTTGCCTGGAGAGATTCACGATGGTCCTGAAGTCCCCTGGGTTGACCAGGACCAAAGCCAGGGCCGCAGAGAATATCAGGGCAGGTGCTGGGGTGAGGTGACTCACATGGACCATGGACAGAAGTTGGGGCTGGAAAGCAGAGTCAGGTGTCAGACAGGCCCAGGGGACCCTGATAAACATGCAGGGGAGACCAGTGGGCCCAGCCTTGAGTCATCAAAACCTTTGGGCACAGAACTCTGTCCTTCATCTGGGGTAAGAATACCCAGGGAGGAGAGGACAGGGTAGGTACAGGTGGGTCCTAGAAAGGAAAATGGTTGATGTGGGCCAGGAAGCCCGCATGTTTGGCCAACAAAATGTGAGCAGGAGTGACAAATAGAGGCTTTCAGTGTGACTTGGCTGCCCGTACCCTTTACTGCCACTTGAGGGGCACACACATACCCTGAGTCACTACCATGGAGTCCCTACTGAGTTAGTCTGGGCTCCTGAGATAGAAATGGGCTTGGTGCAGTAGAAGCAGATTGAACAAAAAAGGCCATGACTGATACAATGAAAAGCATTAGATATTCAACATCATGTTTACAGGAAAAGCTAATACAGGGGTAAGGGGTCTCTGGTGGAAGAGGCTGTCATGTGTCCATGGGGCCCTCTGCCCCTTTGTGATGCACAAATACCCCCATCGACCTTGCCCTCCACACTGCGTCACCCTAAGCCTGGACGTAAGAGGATTAGAGTTAAACATGAGAGGTGTGAGATGCTTCAGTGCTGTTCTCAAGAGAATAGAGAGCTGCATCTCACTGGGAAAGCCCTGGTTCAAGCTATGTGCTGAGCTTTGGGCAGGAGAAGGCATAGATGGCAGCCTGCCTGCACCCCTCCTGCTGCCCACCACCTTGTGGGCCCAGACCCCATCTCTCACCATGTGGCCCTCTCTTGCAGCTGCGTAGCACACACGGCTGCCACTGAAGAGCACCACATTGGCAGAACCCAGCGCTGAAAGTGTGGCAGCCACAGGGATCATCCAGGCCCAGGAGCCCAGCACCTGGTTCCTAGGACAACAGAGAAATTGAGGGAATGAATTCTAGCTGTAACCCAGATCATGGTCACAAGTTGAAAGTGGAATAGGCAGCACATAAGGCAAGTGCCAGTACCCACAGAACACATCTTGCCCTACCCTGGAGTCATCCGTCTGATGTTCAAGGACACTGCTTACCCCCAGCTCACAGCTATAGCCTCAGAGGAGAGGATCTCACGAGGTGACAGCACCAGGAGGTAACTGATATTGACCAGGATGTATAAGATGGTGACCAGGGGGATGGCGATTGTCAGTGCCCGTATCAGGTTCTTCTGCAGGTTGGGAAGAGAAAGGCACACATTAGCCAGTAAAGTCTTTCTAGGCCCCCATGAGAAGGTCTGCAGCACAGTACTGAGATCTTCCTGCCACAGGACACTGTGGGAAGCCCTGGGGATGACGACTGTGTGCCCTCTTCTGTGGGCTCACGATGGCCGCAGCTGTGAGCTTTTGCAGGGTTCTTGCCACAACCAGGGGAGTAGAGGTAGGGAGGGGGTGACAGGGTGAGGCAGGGAGAGAAGCGGTCACCAAAGCCTTCAGAATAGGAAGCCTTAAGCAGGGCTCTCTTTTTTTTGTTTGTTTGTTTGTTTGTTTGTTTACTTGGGGTTTTTTTGTTTTCGTAGTTTTTTTTTCTTTTTTAAAATTTTCATTTATTTATTTTTTAAAATTTAATTGAGAAACAAATATGAATGAGACAGTTTCAAAGCTGATTAATAGGATAATCAATACATTGTACACTGTTATCTTCTTAGTGGTTATCCATAGTACAAGAAGCAGACAAGATATCCTATCCAAACACTATTAGTACACCTCTTTATTCTCACTGAATTAAGTGGAAGTAGCTGTATATCTATCCTATTTTATATATATAAATACAAAATTATCTTTCCTTTGTATCCCCCCCTTTTTTTTAGTCCTGTCAGAGGTGGATATTCTATTGGCATCTAAATATTAAGGTGTTTAAATTCAGCTAAACAATCCAACACTGTCTAGCAGTCTATAATATTAGTGGGTTATCCTCAGAAGTTATTGACTTGAGACTTTTACAGTTCATCATATTAATATGGCTTTACTTTAGATACTTCATTTTTATACTTTTCTGCTGGATGGTTAAGACCAAGATAAAGCAAGACCTATATAACAAGAAATGTAACTTTTGTATCTGGCAAGGTCAGTTAAGTACCCTCAGGATTTATCCTGTAGCCCTGTACCGCCCCTTGTAGATCCTTTGTCAGTGTCAGCCATGAAGATGAGTCACAACCATTGCTTGACCAATTTGCTCTCTGTGAAAGTCTGAGAGAATGTTTTTTTCTCTCCATGTGACTATCCCCAGGCACACTGTACATCATCGATCACATTCCTCTGTGGCTCCATAATCTCTTTGATCAGAAAATTTGGAGCACAACTGAGTTACATGATGTTATAGTACAGGTTCTCCTATGTCCTGAGTCTTCACTGACCTTGAAAGGCTAGGGCCAAAATGTTGGCTGCCCTGCTAACTTAGGTTGTTAACCCTCCAGAAGAGAAGCTTATTATTAACCTGTAGTATATGCAGTTTGGTTTATCCTATCTGTCTAAATATCAAACATCTTTGGCATATCATAGAACAGGTATTTCCCATCAAATATTGACATTTTGAACTTTAAGTCCTTACAGGATATGAAGGAAAAATAAATTTTTTTTAAATTTTAGGGAAGGGTCTACAGGGTGTTCAGGGTCTCACTACTAGATCAGACTCACAGTGATCCACCTGTTTACAGCCTCCCAAGAGCTGGGATTACAGGTGCGCACCACCACACCCAGTCTCAGGAAAAATAATTTTTAAAAAGTAGAAATAAGCATTTACATATTTTTACAAAGAAATTTAGAAATCTAACCATATACAGAATTGTAAGAGGACAGACTTGTGACATTTTTTTTCTTATTCTTGTGTCTTTTTTTTCATTAATTACCCTTTAAAAAAAAAAACAAAAACCTTTACTTGAGAGACATTATGGCAATAAATGGTATGCCATGACAAGAAGTATGTATTTAGAAGACCAGGATGGCAGGCACTCCAAGTGTGACCCCTCTATTACACATCACCATCCTCAGTGCAGCCGCCTGGCTCATGGGCACCAGCATATACAGTTATTCAGGGTAAGAATCTCACCAGCCAACCGCTAGTCTCAAAAACCTGCTGATGTCCCCCAGGCTCTCCTTGAAGTAGGGGAGAGACTCAGGCAAATGAGAAGCCACAGAATTTCCAGCAGGGGTAACCAGGAGAAGGTCAAGGGATGAGAACAGAATTGAAGACCTCATTAGCTTGCTGTTGGTTCCCTAAATAGGACCCTCCCCTCATTTCAGCATCTTTCTTTGGCCAACATATGGGCTCCTCCTCTTCACCATTATGGAAAAAGCAGTTTCCAGATCTTTCTGCCAGAGCTGAGAGCTGCCCACAGTAAAGTGAGAAGGCAGAGACCCTGAGAGAAGAGGGGCCACCAGGGGCAGAGCAGTCATCTCAGGACCTGCAGCAGGTCCCATGTCTGGGCCCAGTAATGATGCTGCTGCCCTCATTCCCCTTCTTTCTTGGGGACACAATGTGCACTCCCTAGCTGGCCCCCATGTTCAAGTCCTTGCTGCTGCTACAAAGCTCTGCTTTCACGCACCGCACCCACCTGCCAGGCCAGCTCCAGTGTCCTCCCCCAGGAAGCCTCGTTTGGCAGCTCAGCTCTGTCTTTTACCCATGCCCCAAGCAGGCCATGTGCAATTAGTGAGAGTGAAGCAAAAACTATGGCAACAGGCTCTCCTGCAAGCTGGTTCCTTTCAGGTCCCTTCCAGAACTAAAACCCAGGAATCTGAATACAAAGGAAATTGCTCTACCACAGCATGCGCTGGTTCCTCAGCACCCTGGAATCTGGCTCTGGAAAGATTCACAGGAAGCCACCCACAGCCTAGGTACACAGCATTCTCCCTCCCACGGGCTCATTGGGGGACACCCTCAGCAAGGTGAGCTCCCAGCATGCAAGACCCAGCCTCAAGGCCTGGGATGTGTCTGAACTTGACCTCTCTTTAGACAACTTCCCACCTGTCATGAGGTGTGACAGTGGCAGAGCTAGAGTTGTGTTATGGATAGGCCCCTGGCCAAGATGTCACAAGAACTGTGATATTTTCTAATTTCATTCTCAAGGGTCTTAATTCTACATGTCCATCCTAGAGAGTCTGAACATAAGTCTGGGTTTGGAACAGGTATTGCGGTTTCTTGAAAGAAAGTATAAAATAGAGATCTACCTAGTGCATGTTTTAGAGGACCATGTTAGAGCAGAATCTCAATGCCAGCATTTCAGGATGAGCTTAGGCCTTCCTGCGAAACCCACATTCATCAGAAATGCTCTGGAGAGCAAACTACAGCTGGGGACCAAATCCAGCCTGACCAAGTGGCATTGGGACACAGCCATACTCTTCTGTTGATTTAGGGCTGATTCCAAGCTATAGCAGAGTTAAACTGTCACGGCTGGGACCGATGACCCACAGAACTCAAGCTGTAACCCTCTGGCCTTCCACAGAGAAGCTTTGCCAAGTCCTGTGCTGAGTGCGGACCTGTCTCACACATCTTTAGGTTCCTGCTCCTCTCCAAGCCCCCAGGGACAGGGCCTTCTGTCCTTGTGGCATGCAAGAGCCTCTGCTCTGCAGCCTCTAGCCTGACCAGAGGCAAGCTGAGGACACGTTCACATTCACCTGGGAGCGACAGCAGTACAACTGCTTCCAGGACTCAGATCCCAAACCATCTGTTACGAGTCGGTGTGCATGACACCCCGGAGCCCACAGAGGCAGCAGGCAGCTGTTAACATCAGCCCCACTTTATAAACACAGAGCTAAGGAATGACAAATTATACATGCAAGTAAAAACTAGGTTGCAGGTCTCTTGACTTTTGCCCCAACTCTGTGTCTGTCTCTGTGTCAGTGTCTGTCTCTGTCTCTGCCTCTGTGCTCTGTCTGTCTGTCTGTCTGTCTCCTTTTGGATTTCAGTTTCCAAGATCTCCCAAATCCTCCTCCAGACAGCCTCTGCCAATGCTCAGACAGCTGTAATGTTCCTTAAGTCATGAAAATTCCTAAAGGAAAAATAAAACAAAACACAACTAACATCCTAACCAAATACATTCATAATGAAGTGTTAGTGTCCTAACTCATCAAAGATCCAAGTGCCCTAACTGAATCCCAAGCTGCCCTGCAGACCTGTCCCCACCACGGCAATGACAAATCAGCCTCAGGTTCACAGGTGGGGTGCTCCAGCAGGACTGGCTTGTTGCCCTGTCCCAAAGTACACTATGTCCCATGCTGGCCCTCAGGCTCTACTACAAAGACCTGTGTAGAACAAGCCAGGAGACACCAAGCGGAGTCACCAAGCATGGACTCTTCTTAGCCTTTTTCTTTTCTTTTTTTTTTCTTTGCAGAACCGGGAATTGAACTCAGGCCCTTGCGCTTGCCAGAGAAGTGCTTATTCCACTGAGCCATCTCCCCAGCCTTCTTCTTAGCCTTTAATTAGAATTAAGACTAATTTTGCTTCCTTAAACCTCAGTTTTCCCACATGAAAAAAAAAAAAAAAAAACAAATGGAGTGACAAGGGCCTCTCTCACAGGGCAGAAAGATGAGATAGTGGCTGGGATAGTATGAAGTTCTCTGCTTTCTTAAGATACAGAAGCTGATCAGAACAGGCGGGGGACTAGCACTCAAGTCCCATGCGTGCAGGAGGGGAGCCCATGCTCATAATCTCAGTCAGCCCAGACATGGAGCTGCTGATGTCCAAGATTCACCCCTGGAGCAGCACTGTGGACTCACCTTTGGATTCTTGAGCTCTTCCAGCACATTGTGAATGCTACTCCAGCCATCAAAAGACCACAGTCCCTGGTAGAAAGCCATGCCAACACATCCCAACTGGTGTGTGGTGTTGTGGAAGGCAAACTGAAACGCCTCTGGGTGGCTCTGGCCCTGACCCAGCACAACAGCCCCACCCCCTACGATGACCAGCAGCGAGAACAGCTTAGCGGCCAAGCACACATTTGTCAGCATGGTAGCCAGTCGTGTGCTCCACAGGTTGACCAGCATCAGCCCCAGGATGCAGGAAGCAGCCACGCTCTTGACCAAAGCCTTGGGCACGGAGAGGCAACCCGGGTAAAAGGAAGCCAGTGCATATTCAGCCAAGCTCAGAGAGACAGCAGCAACCCCAGCTGGTTTTCTCATCAGCTCAAACAGGTAAATGGCCATGAAGGCCGGCAAGGAGCCGAATGTGCGCAAGATATAGGCATACTCCCCGCCTGCTTCAGGAAACAGGGCCCCCAGCTCAGCATAGCACAGGGCTCCCAGCATAGCCAGGAGGCCACACACCGCCCACACTACCAGGCTGGCCCCGGGACTGCCCATGTAGACCAACACCCCCTGTGGGGACATGAAAATGCCAGAGCCGATCATACAGCCAGCAACCATGGACACAGCACTCCACAGCCCAATCTGTCTCTGCAGGGCCAGTCCTGGGACTGCCACCTCATCACGGTCACCTCTGTTGTTCTGTCTCTCCATCTCAGACTGCCAACAAAAGCTCTGGCATTTATCCACGAGCTTTGTGAAGTAGTTAATGATTACAGTGTACGGCCTGATCTGGCAGTCAAAGAGTCCAGTGTGGTCTAGAAGGCCTGACTACACACCTGTCCAACCTATGCCTCTGCTGGCCTATGCCGTCTGCAGGAGCTGCTGGTCAGCACAGTCCCACAAAGGTCAAAGTAAACAGCTTTTGTTTATTTAGTTTTTTTAAATTTTATTTATTTGTGTGTGTGTGTGTGTGTGTGTGTGTGTGTGTGTGTATGTGTAGCCAGACCAGCCCACCAGGGGGCGGGGCTGGCTGGCATGTGGTGCTGGGGGATCAAACCGCGGTCCCTGTGCTTTGCCAAGCTTGCTCTAAGTAGGTGCTTTAGACCACTGAGCCATCTCACCAGCCCCTTATTTGTTTATTTAAGTATGTGTCTTTTTTGTTTTTATTTTGGTAGTACTGGGGTTTGAGGCCAGAGCCTCACACATGGTAGGCAGGCACTCTATGACTGAGAAAACATCTGGCCCTTTTAATGCCAGGATAGGATCTTACTACATTGCTGGCTTCAAACATGCAATTCTCCTGTCTCAGCCTCCTGAGTAGCTGGGATTACAGGCACACATTATCATGGCCAACAAAAAGAGTTTTAATAGAAATTAAATATTGTAATTTTCTGGAGATGTGGCTGGTAGGGTGACTGGTTAGCATGCAGAAGACCCTGGGTTTGATCCCCAGTGCTGAAAGACAGAGGAAAGCAAGCAAGCAAGAAAGAAA